GGGAAAGAGGTTTTTTTTTTTCTATTATGAGGCTTCAACTTTTTAACCCAAGGGTCATGAATTGAAGTAAAAGGTGGGTGCAAGTGAAACCGTGGAAATACTGTAGACAGTTTCTTCTGTACAAAAAGTTTTGATACTCTACAACGAGGAAAGTAAGATAGTAAATAACAACTAATTAATCACCTATATAATTAAGAGACCTAGTTCATCACTCACATATAATGATATAACATGCACTTCCCCATGTCAATATAAATATTCAAATGTCATTTTAAGAATTTAATTTTCATGTATGAGTATGAATTTAAATAACTATAACAAAAATCAACTATCACTCAAATTGGATGAAAGTGCGAGTAAAAAAAATCTTTTACCCTACTAAACCCTAATTTTAATGCATTAAGAATGTACAATTACAAAACAATGATGTTTTTCTTGAATTTTTTGAAACAGTGAACAATCTTAACTGAAAGAGTGGCAGTGATATTTATATTAATAAAAGGGTTTTACAAACGTACTAGAGACTGAGCAAAAAAGACAAATTGGTAATTACAAAAATTAGGGTTCTTTTGAGTGAGCCGTACCACCTACTGTCATTTTCAACCGGGAAAACTCATCCAATCTCTGACACCATTGCTCTGCTGGAGAGTGGGGGTCGTCCCTGCACTCTTATCAATTTGTATATTCAGTAACCTGTAGTTGGTGTTTACACAGAGTCATGGATGGACTTAGTCATCTTTCATAACCTAAGCTATTTGGATTTGTTGTGTACCACAACCTGGGAAAAGAAACTATATATTATATGCATAGTACGATTGCCGAATCTGCACTTGGATCTGAATTCCAGTACTTTGCTTAGGCAATTCGTTGTGCCATGATGAATTAATTAAACCCTCTTGTTAATTTTTCATAATGATGTGCCTGTGCCATTCATCTCCACTTCTTCCTTTCAGTTCAACCCAAAGGACCACACCACACCTAACCAGCTAGATAAAGTGATGAGGAGATTTCTTGTTATGGTTTTTGAATGCTATCCAAAAACGGAATATAACTGTCTCTTGACCTCTTTCTTTAACCTGCCCTTTCTAGTAATCACAATTCACAATACAAAATCAAACAGGGGTCCAATATTACATATTAATTATTATACTAATTGTTAATATAGGACTAAGTACAATGCATTTTCTTTCAAGTTTTACATGTACTTGGTTAATTAATCGAGGTGCTTAATTAATAGTTTCTTGCGCAGTGTAAAATCATTTTAGAGAATTAAATTGTGTTTAATTTTAATATTTAATATATTGTTAGGGTAAGATTTTTTAGATGCACTACAAAAAATGTTACATACAGTAATACACAAAAAATATCATTATAAATATAATATATGTAGGTATATATCTATTTAATATATAGTTATACAAAATTTTAGTGTTGATTTTGAATGAGATTTAACAATATATTTTATGTGCCACTACATTTTATACCCACACTTTTAACAATATACCAACATATATTGTATTTGCTGTGTAGATAAAAATAGTTTTAGTGACACATACTGTGTTATTATAGGATATGTGTCATTATATGACAATTTCTTTATAATGACGGTTAATTAATTAACTCTCATATCACTCAAATAATTATTATTTAAATTAATAATTTTCAAATATATATACTATATGATTAGGGTTATATTTAGGGTTGGAAAAATGTACCGGAATCCTATGAGTACTCACAAAAAATACTTTTAATGGGGAGGATAAAAACTCGCATAAATAAAAATGAGAACGTGAGGAGATTTATCCGCAAAATTCAATGGAGATGGAATGGGTATGTGTATATAAGATCCACACCTTTATTTATATATAATTAATTAAAAAAAATTCTTAATTTAAAATTCTAAATAGAGTTGTTGTATCTTTTTTATTTATATTTTTAAAACTTTTAATTATTATTTTAGTTAGTTTAATCCTTAGTCTCATCATGTTTTAATTTCTTAAGATATATATTATTAGACCAAAATAATATTTAAACATTTACACAATATCTCACAAAAATAAGATTAATGTGTGTGTGCGCGTGTGTGTGTTATTATAAGATAGTAAGGTTAATGTCCCAAATATTCACTAAAATTTTCACATTTATATATTTATTTTGTCTTACATTTTGTATTTTTCAATTATAGAAAAGTGATCATAGTAACTAATAATTGTGAATTTCTAAAATTTCTTTTTATATATATTTGACATCTATAATCTCCATTAGTAAATTTAAAATTTAAAATTTATAGAGAAGACCATAGTTTTTCTTAATATAATAGCTTGTTAATGCTTTTAATATTATTATTATTAGTCATGTGGGAGCATCTTTATTAGTCTTTGTAAAGAATGAATGAGAATCGCTATGTTGATGTCATGGGAGTAGTTGATATAGTATATATCAAAAGTACAATCCTTTTCTTTTTGGTAAATTATAAATCAGAGATCACAAGTTTGAAAGTGCAACCATTATATAAAAAAATAAATAAATAAAAGGATGAATAAATTTTGGTATGAAAAATGCTTATTGGCTTACTTGGGCCTATAAATCTATTTATACAAGTTGTATAAAAAAGGATTTGTAAATAGGTTTTTAGATTAAGCAAAATTTTAATCAAGTTAATTAGACCTTTAAAAAATGTTTACAAAGTGTAAATATAGGATAAATTAGACTCAAACTCCCTAAAGTCTAGTCTAGATGATCTATTTTGACTCTTATTAATGATTATATTTAAATGATTAGAATTTATATTTAGAATTTTATGTATCTAATATTGTTCGATTACAAATTATGACTTATGTTTAAATGATTTAAAGTTGTAGTTGGATAATTTAAGAGTAGATTTTTAATTTAGTTGTAATAATAATTTTAATTAATATTTTCCATTGATTTTCTAATTTTATATTTAATTAAAGTACATATAGGAAATATGAGTATGAGTATATATATACACTTCAGATAAAAAATAGAGATTAAAGTTGCTACCTACATAAATATAAAGATGGATTCATATATCTGTTTTAAACACAAATATAAAGATAGATACTATAATATCCTACCTAATTCCTACTCATTGCCATCTCTAGTTAGATGACAACCAACATAATTCAATGTATTTAGTAAAATATTGTTTGATTTGATATTGTTGATCATTAAAAAAAAAAAATCCTCTGATCATTACTATAAAAGGGTGTCCGATCTCAAAAGAGGATTGTTCTGAATGTAAGCAAAAAAACTCTAACCTAGCATAGGGTCTTAATTGGTGGTAATATATGATTAGAGAAAACTTTGTAATATAATATTTTAGGAGTTTCAAAAATTGTTCTGAGTAAAATCAAAATTTCACCGTAGTAATTCATATGATAAAAAAAAAAAGTCGGATGTTACCCAAATGAAACTCTAAATTTAAGAATTTTGACTCTTTCAAATACAAAAAAAAAAATTATATTACATTACTCGTGACATTTAATTAAATTGATTATATTCCCAAAAATTGTCAAACTAACTATAAGTTTAGCCTAGCAAGTTATATAAACATGTGATCACTTAAAAAAACCAACTTGCATATATATTAGGAGCCCCTGTATTTAGATGGATGGCCTAATTAAGGAGCATTATAGATGGTAATGAGCTTGCTTAGGGAATCATTTTTCTGGTTCATTTTGTAATATTTACTTTCAATACAAGAAATGTTACGAACAATTATATAAAGTGTTTGTAGAAAAAACTTATTTAATATATTTATACACAATTTTAATCAATATTAATTTAGAATAAAATTTAATATATATTATATATCACTATAATTTATATATATACTTTTTAATAATATATTAATATATATTATTTTTATAGTGAGACAAAAGTTAGATAATATATCATTATAAAGTGTGTCATTACATGAGATTTTCTTCGTTTGCTTACTCCTTCTAGGCTTTTAATAAATTTCCTTTTTCTACAGTAAAACCAATATAAAATATTTTATTTTCTCATAGGTATTAAATCTATGTACTATCTTGTAAATGTATCTATTCTAAGTATCTATTCGCATATATAAATGTCCACAAAGCAGTTTAGGCCAGTTTTGTTAAAATAGTTTAGTAAAATGCTTTTGAAGAATGCCGAACCAAACTAATTCAGAAGAAGAAACTAAAAAGAGGGAAGAGTGGGTAGGTTTGATTTAGTTCATGAACCGTATAGAAAGAACCTATAATAGAAAGATGGATGAGTTAATGTGGTCACCAACTTCTGCAAATTATATAAAATACATGATTTGAACATATCATTATTACAGAAAGAAGTCACTACTACTCTACAAAATGTCACATCACCGATAGAATGGAAAGCGTTTTGATTGAAATATTCATTGCACAATTAGAGGAACAAAGGA